GGACATAAACGATACTAAAGTCATATATACTCTGATTTTGTAGATACTGCATTTGATTCATATATAATTCCTTCAATTTCCGACTATTAGATGAATTATTATTCATTGTCGTTCATATTATTGCCAATCGAATTATTATTCATGTAAATTCGCAATTTCGAATTTTAATAACTGCAGTAGATGTAATTCATTCTTAAACCCTACCTGGATTAGGAGTAAAAGTTAATGGAGCATCTATCTTGTTCACTTTTTGGTCAATGTTCAGAAAATTGTCAAATCAATCATAGTGTTATACGTATATACTGTAATGGAAAGAGTTGTAGTAAAATTTTTCACTAAATGAATTTCAAATAATTTAAATTTTTCATTAGACGGCTGAAAGTAAGTATTGGTCTCTAGAACAGAACTATGTTTTATGTATATCTGTTTCTGTCGAAGGAGGTGATTTTGACCATCGTTTCTTGTGAAATGTCGCAGCCGTAAAAATGGAGATAAGAACTTGATATTTGGTATGAAGTTTCCTTGAACGATTAAAAACTTGCAGTTAAAAAACGGTTGGAATCTATCGACATGCCCACCCACAATGCATTAAACACTAAGATAATCTCGAAAAAGCATCAATAATATTTTCATGTTTTCGTCCCTATCTTTTGTACCATGAAAATATTGCCCATACTTCTCTTAAAATTACCTCATGTTTAGTGTAAAGCTGGATCCAATTAGCTTAAAATTATTTTGGAAATTTTATTTTCTATAATTAGAACAATGCTAATTATGTTATAGATAAAAATAGGATAACTTACTACAAAAGAAATATAAAGAAAATAAGGGAGGTATGTTTGTTAGAAGGTAAAGAAGAAGAGATTTATATATAAATAGAAGTTATATGCATATAAGGACGGTCACGAAAAGATTCAAAAAAATGTTTATGCAGAACCAAAATCTGATTTTTCTAATTTATGTCGACAATGGGTAAACAATAATAAAATCTTTGACAAGAAAATTAATTTTGCTAAATTTGGAACATATCAGTACACCACAGTAGTCTAAAAGGCATGTTATAATTCAACTTTGGTCCATTAGCCAAACTGGTAAAGTACCCTTATTAAAAAATAAGTAAAATATGTAAGAATATTACATTCGGCAATGACCAATTTTTTTGTAGCGTACTACTCTCCAAGTTCTATTATTTGACATCCCTATCGATGGGGTTATGAAAAA